CCCTGGACCTAGTTGGCTGCTTTGTGGCAGTCCCATCATGGTTATTACTATGCAATCCTTACCCACATCTCCCTTCAGCCTTGTGTCAATTCAAACCTTGTTTCAATTCTTACAACTTCCATGTCACTCATCATATTACCCACCATGTTACTAGCTTAGATCTGCCCTCAAACTTATGAAAATAATATATATACAATTTATTTCTACCAATGTGAAAGTTATGCCTTTAAAATTGTTTACCAAAGAATTAATTTGAAGTTGTACAAAAATTAATTATAATTAATATTAATTATAATTAAGATTATCAACCAAATGATCAAATACACCCACAATATCAAATACAAACACAGGTTTTTCCTAAGGATCGAGTTCATTCATTTTCTTTTTGACTAAGATAATAAAATAACCTAACTTAAGATTTAACACAATAAAACTTTAGAATATTAGTCAAACACCAAAATCAAAGTAAGCATTTAATTTAGAGTAATTAGTATAAGAATACCTCTTTTTGCTTTTGCTAAAATTGGTTGCACCACAACATACATGGTGATAACCTCTTTTGGTAGCTTGCCAAATGGTATCTCGCACTGTCCAACCATTTTGTTGTTATCCAAAATTCTCTTAGCATTTATTAGTTTGACATCATTGGCTAACTTGTGTGTAATTATTTTGTTTAAGATATATTAGAATATTTAGATCCAATATTAGCAGAAAGAAACATACAGTAATAAATCGATATGAAACACCAAATTGTTTGAAATTATCTGAAGTTTTTTAGTATAAATTTATTCTATTTTTTTATTTTAGTTTTTGTGCTATATGAAATTTTTTTGGATAAAAATCTTTTTTTAGTCAAATTTGTATTTAGGAATATGATCAAAAAGATTAGAAATAATCAAAATTAAAAAAAAAAGTTTTAATGACAAAAAGTGAAGAATAATGATATATTTCCATTATTTTGATTAATTAACTAAATTATCCAAATAATTTTGGATAACCAAAAATTCAATTCAATTTGGATAATCCAAACTGAATGCTCAACTCTTTTTGTTTGACTGTATATAATTATTGTAACATATAACTTAATAGATTTTTTATGATTTCTCTTATTATATTATCTACAAAAAATAAATTTGCTTAACACAATTAAAAAATAAATCTATTGATTTTTTTTAACCAATCCATTGATTAATATATAATAGTCTATTTCAAGAATTATTTTTCTTTATTTTTTTATAATTAATATTTTTCAAAATCAATTTTTATATACTTTCAAATTAATCTTTTAGCAGATAATTTTAAAAGTGTAACTTTTACAATGATAAAAATAAATTGTATATATATTATTTTCTTAAGTTTGGAACATATCTAGGTTGATGATATGGTGAGTGATATGGAATTTATGGGGCTTACAATTAAAATTCATAAAAATAATAATAATAATAAATTTGCTTTACAGCTGCTCAAATTTCATTTGACAAAGGCACATAATAGAATGAAGCAAGAATTGACAGGGAATTTGCTGTGGGGGATCAAGTTTATCTAAAACTTCAACCATTCCGGCAATCCAATTTGTTGCAAACTCAGACTCATAAGTTGTCTCCTAGGTATTATGGACTATTTGTGGTACTCCAGAGGGTTGGTTCTGTGGCTTACAAGTTGCAACTGCAAGAAAATGTTAGGATACATAATGTTTTTCATGTTTCTTTGTTGAAGAAGAGGGTGGGAAGCGCACCAGTAACTTCCCAATTCCCTGATTCGTTGATTCATAATGGGCAACATCTCCTCCCTGACAAAATTTTGGATAGAAGGGTGCAAAATTGCCATGGGAAACCTATTACTATATATATGGTTAATTCAGTGGAAGGGGTATACTACTGAGGAGGCTTGTTGGGAAACTAGTGCTAACATCAGGGCTAGGTTTCCAGATTTTCATCCTAATCCTTGAGGACAAGGATTTTAGAGAGAAAGGCATCTGTTACAGTCCAATTATTTGTGCTAAGCTGGAAATATGGGTCCGTTTGTTAAGGAGTTTGTTGAGGTTTATAATGTAATTACCCTTATACAAAGGACGGCTTTGTAATTGAAAGTCTATTGATTGATGAATACAACAGACTTTTCCTCTTCCTTCTATCTCCTTCTTGATTTCCCATTTCTAATCTCTATCTTCTTCTTCTTCTTCTTCTTCTTCTTCTCTTCTTGGATCTGTTCTCCCTTGATTCTTCTTCTAATTCTTCTTTCCAATTTCTGAATCTATCAGAACCAGAGGGGAGTATCTGGGTCGACGACGGCACAGACGGCAGTCAATCTTCCGGTCGTTGACGCTGTGTACTTTCTGACACTGAGGTTCTTTCCACTAGGGAAAGGAGTCTTAGTTGTCCTCCAAATCGATTCAATCTTTTGGGAAGAGACACCGACGGCGGCAATGACAAAAATTGGCGGCCATTTCGGGCTAAAATTGGCGGTGTAACCATGTAAGTGGTGGAGAGAGTGCAAGGTAAGATACGAATATTTGTCTTTTTTTTTTCTTTTTTTTTTGAACGTATTACTATGAGGGGATTCGAACCCAACCTTAAGGCGGAAGGTGATTACGTATATAATCATCGAATCACAAAAGTTAGGTGCGAATATCTGTTTATCAGGGCTTATCAAGAAGGGTTGTGGAGTCTATCACAAGTTGCTTGATAAACTGCAGAATCTGATATCAGCGGCTTTCACTCCGTCTGTTGTGCCATCTAGGATTTGATCAGAAATGTGTGGCTCAGATTCCATGTTCATCTGACCCACACGTCAGGAAAAAAACAAATATCCATAGAAACAAACGGGTAAAGATGACCTTAAGCAGGGAAAGTTTCGTTATGGCCCAAAAATTTTATTTTATTGGGCTAAGCCTATAAATAGAAGCTATTATAATAATAGGGCTAGGGGGAGTCCAAATTGGACCTAAAAAGAAAGAGAAAGTCCAATGGGCCAATGCTGAATTGATGGGGAATTAGTGATTTTTTTTTCTTACTGGAGGAAAAATCTCCAGAGGGAAAAAAAAATTATTGTACCAATCATATATAAATAAAGGGATGCTTTGATTGGCTAAAGCAGATTTTTGAGGTAGCATGATGCATAATCTCAGGTGCATCCAGCCCACACTTGGATGCCCCAAGCACTTTATCCGCCTCAGCATCAACAACTAGCTTCTCATTGTAGTCTTTTATTGCCTTCTGGAGAGAAATATGAGAGGCACAATTAAATTTGAGGGGGAAAAAAAAAGATCAAATATACAGTTAGACATCCGCTGATCCTTAGAAATAATGAATATAATCCATTGATAACATATTTAGTGCAGAATTAACGAGTACTCTTATTTTATATATGATATTTTTCAAATTATATTTGAAAAAGGTTGTCTTATTTTAAAATCAATTAGTAATTGATGAAAATGGCATGTTACTTATTTATAAGTTTGTCTATCTTGTATAGTAAAAAATAATTATTAATTAATAATTTTTACTTTTTTCTTAAAAATAAGAAATTTTAAATTAAAAAATAAGTTTTGATTTTAATTTTAAAATAAACAAATAAGAAACTAATACATGACATTTGTAATTAAAACAAAAGCTAATTTTATTTTTTAAGATAAAAAATAACAGTAATTACATAATTATTACTTTTTATCTTGTATCCTAAAATAAACCCTCTATTTATTTATAAGTTCATAAATTTTCCTTTAATTACTTGACGTGTAATTTTCCCAATCATCTAGACTGTGTTTGTGTTTTGAAAGTAGAGAACTAATGGAACATTTGTTTAGATTAAAATGTTGTGCTAGTCATTGGTTTGGAGTCCAAAATAAAAACGAAACCCATCGTTTTACAATCTTCATTAATATATTCTTATGTACACAAAATCTTAGTGGCATAAAAATTCTGACAAGATACAAGAGAAAGAAAAATTAGGCATTTCTAGTAGTTTATTTCTCTATTCTTTTCCCTTCACATTTCAAGATCCAGACACAACATCAGCAAAATAAAATCTCAAATCACCAATGCACACCCAGATACTGTGTTCTTCAGTGGATTCAAGGATGATGTGAAAACCAGAATATCACCATTTGCTTGCTGTATTGTTTGTTCTTCGCTAAGACCAACAACAGAAAGTGGTGGTATGCTCCAAGACAACAAATCAGTCATCTGATGCTTATGAAAGTGGAAAAGAAAAACTTTCGAAACAGATAATTGCATTCTAAGAGAGAAAAAAAAAAAAAAAAAAACTAAGGCTAGATATCTAGTTTCAACATAGAGAACCCAAATACCAGTTGCCTAAATCAGGTGGGGCAACTGTTCATTATTGTTGAAGAACTTCATTTTAAACCAGAGGGGCATCATGTAATTATAGGCCTTAGAATCTTATGATAAAAATTGCTACCCCTACGTATAAAGAACACTGAATAACTTGAATTTCTTGCGATCATTAGAACTGAGAAATATATATTTTGCTCCTGTTTTGGGAAATCTTCAATAATCAAATAAAATCAGAGGCATGCTCCAAAAGATACAAACATTACCTAAACACAGCACAGGGTATATTATTGTAGTCTGGTTTGCTGGGTTGTCCACCAAAAGCAGTTTTTCTACCGGCAATGCATTTAAAGATTGTTAAATGCATCAAATATTAAATAACCATATAACATTTAATGCAGAGAAATATAGGAACTCCAAACAGAATACAAACTGCAGAGCAGGTTCCTTCCATTAATGTTACAGTTGTTAGATTCATTCGATTCGTAACATCACCAACTGCACATATACTGGGTATGTTGGTGCGTGAGTAGTCATCCACCTGCAACATAAAGGGAGAATCAATCCCACTCATGCAGTCATCTTCTATGTTGTATAAAATCTTTCCATTAGGATTGCAATTTTAACTTGATCATGCCATCAGATTCAACCTTTCATAAAACATAAGGAAAAAATCATCACTAGTAAAATGATAAAGGCCTGCAAAAAATTTGAGCCTATAGTCGTTTTATAGCCACTATTGTTTTTTTTTTTTAATATTAACCTTCTAATAACTACCAATCACATTGAATGTGGAGTAATACATAATAGAGCCAAAATAATAAGAGTCATGTTAAGTTTCCATGCCCCTCTCTAGAAACAATCAACCTACCTACGAACATTTGGTCCAGGCTCATCATTGAAATACAAATACGAACTTTTGGGGCACAGCCCAGGCTCATTCGAAAGGATCAAAGGGTATAATTTCTGGAGCTGGGCCCAGCCTCATCGTTAGAATAGATAAAGATGGACTTCTGGAGCACGGCCCAGGCTCAATCTTTGAGATTGATTACGACGGATTTCTGGAGTAAAGCCCAGGCTCATCTGACGGGGTGAATGAGAAGGATTTATGCGGCACTCAAAGAATTAATTCTTTGAGCTTTTTTATTTTTTTATTTTTTTTATAAGTAAATTGATTCTTTGAGTGTTCACCATCAAAGTGAACATTCTTTGAGTGTTATTTTATTCCAAGTATTATCCCTTCTTTACTCTACTGTTCTTTTAACTTTAAAAGATTCTAATGATCTATTCTCCCTTAATTGGTGATAATTGAGTTAATTCTTTAAGTGATTTTTTTTTTAAAGAAAAAGTAAATGGATTCTTTGAGTGTTTACCATCAAAGTGAACATTGTTTTAGTGTTCTTTTATTGTAAGTACTATTCCTTCGTTACTTTTCTATTCTTTAATTTTAAATCTCCAAGATCCACACACCGTTTGCGTCGAGTATCTCGCTCTAAAGGGCTTCATCATTGGGCTCCTTCCATTTCTTTCTCTTTAATATACTCTAGTTTAAGTCTTTCTTGTTGACTAAAATATTTTGCATCGATATGGGATCTCTGGATGGATTTTATATTATTAAACAAATAATTCTTAAGTATCATTTGAATAATATCTTAATTATATTATTGGCATGTGCGTTGCAGCTAAAGAAGATGAGATGACCGAATATTCTCATTTTGTTGAATCTAAAAAGGAGATTGGGATGTTGTGAGGGATTGAGTTTTGTATATTCTGTCAACCAGAAAATGACAATCATGAATTCCTACTTGGGCGCTGGGTATAGCTAACAAAATATTTGGTAAGAAATAATTAAAATTTTATTTTATTGTGTGCAACGGACCCGAGTCAAGGTGAGAGGAGTCAGTCTGTGGGGCTACTTTCTCCACCACCCAGAAAGGCGAGTAGACCTTAGAAAATCTAGCTTTAAAATTAAATAAGGTTTTTTTTTTTAAAAATAATATTGAGATTTAAATTAAATACAAAATTTACGCTTTCCAGCTGCCTTTACCCTTATAGTTTCTTTTATGATTTTGCTTCCTATTATAAATATCAGAGTGAGAATTTTTTGATCCAATACCTTATCCATTCAACCTCAATGCTATGCATTTCCTAGTTATTATAGTAAGCAACAATAGGTTGATGGAATGATAGATCATAATTAGCTTATTGATTTTAACTTTTTTCTTTAGCATTATTTTATAGATTCTTGAAAGTAATGCTATATTCACTAACATTTTATTATGTTGGGGAATTGTCAAAATTTTATATAAGTGTGATATATAAAATGTAAAAAATGATTGGTATACCTTCCGGTTTAATACATTTAATAACACTCATCGGCTCAGTTACTAAAATTTACCTTAAAAAATTTTTTCATCTTGAATTCAAATTTGAAAATATTAGTTTTTTAATAATTAAATCAGTGAATGTTGTTAAATATGTTAAATCGAAAGATGTATCAATCATTATTCATAAAATTTATATATAAATTGATGGTTACTCTTTTATTTAAACTACATTGTGTTTTATATTTCATTTAGTTTTGAGCTTGAACAAGTCAATCTCCTCCCTCTCCACTCAACTCACTTAAAATCTCTAATTTAAAATTTCAAGTTTTTAACTATTGAGTCATCGAAGGGTTTTGTAATATATTCCGTGGTTCTATATATTCTATGCTTTCCTTACTTTTTTGTGGTTTAAATATTTCATCAAGACCCAGCCACCCAATGCATAGCAAGCGCAACCTAAACCTTTGTAGTTTTCTTTGCTCTATACTGTCTCTCACTGTCAAGGGCTTCATCATTGACTTTGGTTGTAATCCTGTGTCCCACGTTTCTTAATTTGGTCTGGTTTCTTTTGATAATTTTTTTAAAAAAAACTTCTTCATTTATAATTATATTACTTCTTTTCTTTCTGTACTAATTAACACCTGCAATCTCTATCTACACAGCAAGAATCCAAATCTAAATCTCTTTCATATGGTAAGTATCATTATACTAACACTGAATTGGTACTTATTAATTTAAAAACTTTAATTTAGAATTAAGATTAAAATTTTAAAATTTTATGATACTAAACAACTGACCCTCTAATTAATATTCAAAAAAAAAAAAAGTATTATTATAAGAAAGCTAACTCTTTGATTATTTGTTATGGCTTTATGCCAGCCCAACATTTTACCTTTGGTGTGTCATGCTTTCTAGAATGGTACAATCTTGGAAACAATAAATAGTTATATTAATAAAAAGATTGTTTGCCTGATTAGGTCTCGGTTCACATATAACTACTGCAGAGGTGTAGAATATGTAATTATAATCGTATAATACTCTTCTGTTATAATTAATATTATATATACTTTTTATGGTTTGACAGATTTGAAATGGCAATACCCCATGATTCAATTACTACTGCAATTGTTCCTTTTCTTCTTGAGGAAGATAATTTTGAAGATTGGAGAATTTACGTTGAAAACTATCTATGGGCTCAAGATCTTTGGGGCATCATTGAATCTGGGGACGATCCTGATTTTCATTCTTCTTCGAACGACGCGAGAAATTGGAGGAAACAGAATGCGGCAGCTCTACATGCAATTCATACTACATCTTCATCAGATATTTTTGCTCAAATAAAGGAGATCAGGTCGGCCAAAGATGCTTGGAATAAATTGGCCAAATGCATCAAGAGTGGCAATCTAAATCAAAACTAGAACTGGCATGGAGGGGTCGGATGGAGGTAAAATTGATTCAAATAGATTTCCAACTGAATTTACTATATCTTAATTGAAGTATAAGTTGATTATAATAGTTTAATTATTGATAGGGGAAGTAATTTGATTATAATTACTTAATTATTGACAGGGAAAAAAAAGATAAGATAACTGAAATGATTTATTCTAAGGAATCGGATGAGGGTGGGTCAGATGGAGGTAAGATTGATTTGAAGATATTCATAATTGAATACATTAACTGAAGTATAATTTGATTTTAATATTTTAATTATTAGTTAAGAAAGAAGATGAAATAACTTAAATGACTCATTGTTGGGGTTGGGAGGGACAATATTGATTTGAGCAAAGTCTCAATTAAATTAAGTTACTGAAGTACTTGTAATTTTGATTAATATCTTAATTATTCATAGGGAAAGAAAATGAGATGATTGAATATTCTCGTGTTGTAGAATTGAAAAATAGCATTTGCAAAGGAGATTGGAATGCTGTTAAGCATTATTTTGTTTTTGACAAGCATCCATTAGATACAATAATAGAACCAGATAGCAGCTCGATCCAGTGCTCTTCATGTTGCAATTAACGCTGGGCAAGATAAGATTGCCGAGGAATTGGTAAAGATAATGTTGGAAACAGATCTGGAAATAAGGAGTGAAAGTCACTGTAATAGTACCACGGTTCTCAGCGTAGTTGCAATTACGGGAAGAACACACGTGGCAAAATGCATAGTCCAAAAGAACAACTAATTACTTACAATTGAAAATGGACAAGGCGCAATCCCAGTATGTACCGCATGCTCTATGGGCCATAAGGAGATGACAAACTACCTTTATTATGTGAAATAGAGATTATTTAGAAAAGAAAAACACATCTTTACCCTTCCGTATGTTTTTTCAGGCCACCCAATTGAAAAATCACTCCCACTCTATCATTATCAAGTCAAGTGGGGGACTTCTACCCAAAAAAAAAAAAAAAAATGTTAGGTGGGAGGGACATTTACCGAATCACTATAAAGTTAGGCTGAGCACTAGCATTCGTTGCACTCGATTGCAGCTGGCATTCCCAAACCTTATCAAGTCAAAAATGAATGGGAAAACATAACCACTCAAATAAAAAGGGCACATAAAAGAAGAACAATAACAATATTTAGTGGCCCTACACAAGCCAAAGAGTACGGAAGGGAAATAATTTAGGGACAAAATGATTGTAGATATGAAGAAATTTGTAAGCACTTGTTCTTTTATTGTAGTTTTGCTAAAAAAGTGTGAAAGTTAATTTTGGACTTTTTGAATATTCAGAGACAACTTAAAAGATGGAGTGTTGAATGGCTTTAGCTAAAGCATGTAAAGGTCATTTAGTTCAACCAAAGAAGTTGAAAACTGCTTTACCTACCACTTTATACATGATTTGGCAAGAAAAGAATAAGAGAATATTTCTTAAAAAGTTTTTGACTGAAAAAGATATATACAATGAGATAATTGGTTTTTTGAGATTAAAGTTTTGAGAAGTGTATTTCCCCAGGT